GGGGGGGGGGGGGGGGAGGCAGGCGCTTGAGCCGGCGCGTCGGCTAGAGGGAGGCGGCCTCACGGAGCGCACACCGCCGACCCAAGCCGCCCACGCGCACCACCTACGCGTGCCCTGTGCCGACGTGGCGCCTGCAGGAAGCTGCCCGGTACAACCTGCAAGTGCGCCACGAGGACTTTATAGCGGACTACTATACATTCCTGTACGGCACCCGGGTGAGTCATTGCGAGTGGCGTCCACTGCACACCCTGCGGCTTCAGCAAATCGTGCGTAGCGCCGGCGGCCGCTGGCCTGTCATTTGAGCACCACTCGTCGGGAGGCCGGCACTCCCCCTGGCGCCGTGAAGCAGTCGGGAGGGCCGCCGCGTTCAAATGTACAACATATGCCGCCCCATCCCAGGCTCCCCGAGCCCTCTGATGCGGCCCGATGGAAGCCACCGCGCCCCTCGCCCCCACAGCCCGCCTGCCGGCCTTGGCCCTTCCCTTCCAAACGCCCCTCCGTCCCCGCTGCCAACCCGAGCAAAGCCTTGAAATTTCACGCCCCTCCGCCCCCTACACACAGAAACACACACACAAACACACACACACACACACGCACGCACGCTCGCACGCACGCCCGCCCGCCTGCGCGCGCGCGCGCGCACACACACTCACACACACACACACACACACACACACACACGCACACACGCGCGCGCGCGTGCGCGCGTGCGCACGCACTCTCCTGCAGTCCCTGGAGAACCTCGAGCTGACCCTCCACTCTGCAAACCCCCTGGGTGTGGACAAGCCCGCCCTGTTTGAGGACCAGGGGCTGGCAGACGTGTTCTACAGGTGAGGCGGCGCCGTGAACACCAAAAACGTTATGATATAAGCTGCTCAGCTGGTTGTGCGACGCACCTGGATGTGCTGCTGCACGCGAGCCGGCGCTGCAGGGCTTGAGCATCAGACGGTCGGCGGTCTCTTAGTGGATCTTCTGACCCGGGGGCTGGGCTCGGCAAAGGGTGCAGTCGAGAGGCTGCGCGGAGGATCGAAGCCGCCCTTGGCGGCCAGCGCGGAGGCCAGTGGTGCAAGCAGTCGGCGCATGGCGGGACACGTGCATTAGTTGCTTGGGCGGATATGTGGTATGTATTGTGTGCGTTGATCCTGGAACAAGAGCTGGAATGCGGCTATTGTGTGCGTTGATCCTGGAACAAGAGCTGGAATGCGGCTGGGTGTGGCTGCATGATGGGTCAATGGCGGGATGTGCGGAAGCGCCTCCGCACCCGACGCTCACGCACCACATTGTGTTTCCAGAATCAAGCCGTCACACATCTTATCGTTGATAACATCCCCGCGGACTGCAGTCACTGCATTCAAACCAACCTTCAAACGCAGCCCCTGCGGGCCGCTCCCGTCAACGCATGCGAGCACCCGCCCTCATGGGCCCTGCAACACACCCGGCGCCCCTTACATGTCCTCGCACCCCCCGACGCCCCGCGATGCCCCCAGGACCACCTCCTGCCTGCGCAAGGACCCCAGCGGCTGCTTTCCCGTGGGCCACAAATACCATGACGTCACCCACTCTGGGGTGGACGCC